TTTACAAAAAAGTGAGCTTTTAAAAAAACTTACCAACCAACTTGTTTTGATCTAAGGTACCACTTAGTACTGAATTAAAAGGAACTAAATCTAGCCAAATCGATTCTGAAATCGTCTCAGAGGGGGAGATGACAGTAGAGTACTCAAATACAATTCTGTAGTTATGAGTTGTTGGTCGATACATTCCTGTTGCCTTCTTCACTGAAAACTCGTCAAATATTCTCCACTCTCCTTTCTTGATCTCCCTTTGGAACTTCTGGAGGTGTTCTTTCTTAATACCAGCTTGAATCTTGTTACCCTGCGTTTATAAGAAATAAATGGTAAACCAATCGACTAACATAAATACTTAAAACAGTTTGCTAAACACTTATTCATTGGTGACAAACAAAATCCTACTTACATCAGCATCTACCAAGACCATTTCAAAAGACATCCCAGCACCCTGAGTATAATGATTCCACGTATGCAGAATCTTAGCTTGAATACGCCAGGAAGTCTTGAAAGGTTTCAAGTCTTTGATAGGAGTGTAGGGACTGACGATGGCCATTTTGAAGGATTTAGTCTCGTGTAAAGAGGTGATTTGTGAGAATGTACTAAAGCAGTCTCGCAGATAATTCAATTTATAAGCATAGAAGGGCGGCTTTGTTAGATATAGTATCTCCGAAAAATATTATCAAATCTTTTTTTAGCTAATTAAAATTTGTTGTGAAATTTAATCCATATAGGTATATTCTCTATTAGGTGGAATATAGTGAGTGAAACTATAAATGTAAATGATAATTTATATTTTTATTAGTTTCAGTTCGGATTACTTTTAACATTAAAGAAATAAATGGTTTGTAATCTTATCACTATCGAAACCGTATTGGTAAGATTTAGATCTTCATCCTCAAATCGTATATGTCATTTCAAATATCAAATACAATCTAAAATTAGTTAGAAAATAAACCGAATACCTAATAGTTTTGGATTAGTTTTGTTTTGATTTTAAACTTATCTAAAGCTCTCTTTTAAATATGAAATTATATATATAATTATATAATAATACGAAAACTATATATATACAGGATTAGTTTTGTTTTGATTTTATAAACAGAAATGAATATCTGGTTGTGATCCTTATCATTGTATTTTATCTATTAAAATATATTTTTGAATGTAGAAGTATGAAATACTCTTTTATATAAAAGGACATAATAAAAAAAAGATTAGGTCGAATATAAAAACATTGATGAAATAATTAATCTTTCACATATAAATTAACCTAAAATATACAAATATTCGAATGTTGTCTATAAGAATTAGAGACATACGATAACATAGATAACACAGAAAATATGTAAAAATATAAAAACATACGATAACATACAACGCAAAAATATTTAGGAGTTTCATAACGCTAAAATCATCTACATACGATAACATACAACTCATACGATAACATACAAAACAAATAATAAAAGCTTTTATGAGATAGGGTGTTTCATAACATCCTATACAAAACATATGTTATGAAATTGTCTATAGGATTAATTACGGCCATAGTAATTAGGAAGTAATTTATCGGGGTAATTAGGAAGTAATTCGTAGGTGGTGTTGGTTATAGAAAAAAACGTGAAAGATCTTATTGTTATGGGAATCTTCTTAAACCCGTTTGCAAACCCGTTGACCCATGATTAGTGAAATGGATAGTGTGCTAATTGTCTATAATAACCTTAATGAATTTGTTCTAAAATGAGCTTTTTGTAATGGCAATCTCATGTAAATTTTTACAAAAGAGAAGGTTAGTAAGGGGTTTCTAATAAATTGTACTCCCCAAATAATAGTATAGGATAAATCTTAGTGTAGCCACCCATAAAAGTAATATTTTTTTTGTCATAACTAATATGTGATTGTAAAATATAATAATTTAATCTACTTATATTTTCATAATTGTTTTTTATAAATAATATTTTTATGATGTTGATGATATCTATGCTAGTATTTGTGAATTACATTTGACGACAAAAAAAAAAAAAGAATTACATTTTAGACTGTAACCTTTATTTTAGTAAGTATTTACAAAAATGCCATTATTTTATATCTATGTATCCAAACAATTAATTATCTATTATCCACATAACCAAACCCCTTTAAAAGATTATAAAATTAAAAATATCTATATAATATTCCCCAGTTACTAATATTAATATTTAGAAGATCTGTTAAGATTTTTAAAAAGAATTTTTCTATCATCTTTGTTTGATTTTTTTCAATTGTTTTGAATCATCATTTGATACATAAAGTTAAAAAAAAATCTAAATTGTTTTCTGCATATATTGTGATTCAAATTTAAAAGACGGACATTTATTACTCAATTAATGAAAAAAAGTTTGTATTCTTCTGAAGATAAACATATAAATGTTTAAAATAACACCGAAAAAGTTATATTGCGGGACGGGTTATATGGCGGAACGGGTTTGAATTGACATTAACATTTAAAATATTATTGACTCGACGCTTCAATACGAATGAAATCTTCGTTTGATTTTTTTTAAACTACCTATATTATTAGACATATAGAATTAAACTGATTTAGTTAAAATTGTATGAAATAAAACTTGTCACGCGGTATACCATGAATTAAATCCTAGTACGATGCTATAAAAATATTTTTTATACCCAATCCGGACCATCCGGTCTGACCATTTAACCTGCAATTCGGACACTTCTCTGGTTAGGGTTTAGTGCTAATATCCGGCAAAAACCAGAAAACCCCATATAGATTGTCTTTAACCCACGATCTGGTGAACCGGTTGAACCGACTGTGTAACGGTTCATGAGAATTCATTTGATTTTGGAAATAAAATGTAGGATTTTAATGTATTAAGTTACTTTTAGAACCGTTTATTTTTTTTTAAGCGTCGAAATATGACTCAACTCACCTCTCTTGTGTTCTCTGGCATCTCTAGTCTCCTTTGAGTTTTATCTTTTTAGTTTATTTTTCTGTCATTAGTGATCTCCTACTATTTTAGTATTTTTTCGGTTTACTTTAGATTTTTAAAAAGATTAATGACTTTACTATTATTGTTAGACTTCATATTTGTTAAACATTATATGATTATTTTTATTTTTACATTTATAAAACTATGTAATCTCTATAAATACATTAAACAAATTTGCAGCCGAACCCGGTTGACTCGGTGACCCGATGACCCAGAAGGTAGTCCGGTTTGCCTTTTGGATCGGATTTATATACATTGCTTTAAATAGTGTATTCCATTTTCATATTTGTTTTGGAATTGTATTCTTGTTTCTTATTATATACTAAAAATAAGTAAATAACCACTCCCTCTGTTTTTAATGAAGGGAAATTGTTAATAATGCCACTTTTTTAATACCACTTTTTAAAAATACCCCTTTTTTAAAACCTTATAAAAAATGCTCTTAAAAATATAAGATTTACCCAAATATGTATGTAATATTATTAAAACATACACAAACTACATTTCTATGTATCTAAAATCTTATAAATACTTTATAAATACCTTATAAATGCATTTTAAATACCTTTAAAAACCTTTAAAATATCTTGTAAAACCTTTGAAAAACCTTAAAAATAACTTGTAAAACCTTTAAAAACACCTTATAAAACCTTATAAATATTTGGATCGAGTCTTCAAGTAGTAGTTACAATCCATAAGTACCTTATAAACCTAATAAAAATTTTTAAAAATTTCAGATTTAAAAATGGGCATTTTTGAAAATGGACATCTAAAAGGGGCATTTTTGAAAAGGGACATTTTTGAAAAGGGGCATGAGAAAAGGGGTATTTTTGCTAATCCCCCTTTAATGAATCCAATCATTAAAATCTTTCACACATATTAAAAATTAAATATAAATATATAACTTTTTGCAATTAACAATTTTCTATTACTGTTAACTAACAATATTTAATTATTTTTTTTGAAGTTTATATTCAACATTAGTAACTAACAAAAATGCATAGAAAACCTAAAAATGTATATTTTTAAAACAATTTTGTTTTCTAAAACTTGGATTAATTAGGAGCAAATGGTGTAACTTATTAGCACAAATAAATAACATGCCAAAACTATTTATTTATAGTAATAACATGCCAAAATCACTTATTAACAAAATAAATAAAGTGCCAAAAGTTTGAATTGACTAAATAACAAAATTTTTAACCTAGAATTTATCAAATTTTAATTGTAATACCTAAAAACAAAGGATTTTTTTTTTCAATTTTTTTGCTTTAATAAAATGTTAATATTATTTTGTTGACATTAAATAATATTCAGTAAAATAAATTAATCATTTACTTTCGTTTTTTTGTTAGCTAATACCTTTTGGATTATAAAAATTAAAACTATACTTCAAGGAGAAATGAAACAGTTTTTGAGTGGAGATGGAAATGATAAGCGTCGACATGGAACATGACTTCTCTCTGTTTAATTAAGGAGGAATCTCATTGCAAATCACATGGAAAGTATCCTTATGTTATTGAGAAATTATAATTACATGAGATATGAAGGTCACTGGCCGGTCTCAAGCTGGGATATATGGAGGAAACTTAGTCTCTGGCTCAATATTGTTCTACAAGCTAGCTAGGAGATGTTAGAAAACTAATAAATTGTGCAATCTGAAAAGTATAAGGGTTTGAATGGGGTTTTTGTCAAACGTGTAAAAGTTTCTTTCAATGACTTTATCTCCTTACTATGTGAGTATGAGACTGACACACAAAACATTCTGAGGGGATTTCTTTTGTATTCAACATAAAATTAAATTAAGTCTCATTCCAATAAAGAAGCCAGCATCAAGATACAATATTATTCTAGGAGCATCCAACAACTTTCAAAAACAAAATAAAATGTAAATAAAGTCACTGAATCCAGTACCTTAGTGATCCTGAACTGATCAGCTTCACTGAAGTTTCTTGAATCAAATTAAAATAAAGCAAAAGGCAAAAAAAAAAAGGGTTTAATTTCTTGCAAAATGGATCTCCACTACCATCTTTATTCTCCTCTTATTTCCTCTTGTAAACCTGCACACAAACCTCGTTGTTACTTTCCATTTCAAGCTTCCTATTTGCTTCATAATTAATTGTAACATTGTTAATAGTTTCCACTAACCTCATCCGCTTCCTCATTTGGTTTATTGACTGCATTCTCCACTTCTCTCATCTCCTCCTCAGTGAGAACCTTGAGAAGCTCTGGTGTCAAAGCTGCTGGATCAAGCTCCAAGCAACCGTCAGGAACATTCTCACCTTCTTCACCTGTAAGCAACTGATAAGCAACTTGATGCGAGAACCTGAATAGTTCTTTCCTTGGGTATGTCCTCTGACTTCGATGGCGACGGAATAAAGTTTTAAATCCCGAGAGTTTAACAAGAGGCACAACCGTCACACCAGTCTCTTCGTCAAAATCTTGAAGGACTTCTACCATTTCATACTTGTTCATTTCTTCTACTGAAGTTGAAATATCCCAAGATGGTGACCAATTGTCATATAGAGCCCAAACATTTCCTTTTCTGGGATATATGTGCACCAATCCTTTCTCACATATTGTCCACTGGACTCTATGTGAGAAAGAGTTGAGCGAGTCGTTGCTGCTACATTTCTCGATTGAGAAGCACCCACTCGTCTTATAATACCCTGAATCAATCCACTTCTTCATATAACCCACATATCCATTTTTCTTGCCATTAAGCCAAGAAACACATAGCTGGAACGGTTCTTGAGAGACAACCCTATGGACCAGTGCATACCAACGAGGCATTCCATAATCATCATAAGCAGCCCAAACCTGGTTTTCTCCAAACGAAGTTTGAATGCGATCCTTGTCGAAGTCATAGAAATCAGAATCTGGAACACTCATAACCACCCTATTATATTCATCCTCATTAACCATATTAGTGTTCTTGCTTTCATCAATCTTTACTCTCTTCGCTGCATTGCATTTATTTGAGTCTTGAAGTGTTTTTGTTTCAGCAGCAGCATCACCAACTATCTTGTCTTGAGAAGAGGAACCTGCAGGCCTTTTAAGACTAAGTTTGATTTTAATTGGAGCTCTATCGACCACAGCACTTCCAAGCATGTTTGGCCTAGCGTCGTTGTCCATCTCTTTGTTAAAATAGTACTCAAGATCTTTTTATGTCTCTTAGTTTTGATCCTGCAAAAGAAAAAGATCTATCATCAGAAAGTGGAAAGTGGAAAAGCTTTTGCACCAAGAACAGCTTTCATCATTCAAATATATCCTAGTCTTGAAGCCATTAAACCAACTTTATCCAGTAACCGCAACTAATTAGATAAATAACAATTCCATATCTATGGAAATAAAACTGATGGAAAGACTTATTGGAATAGTTAGTTTTCGCGCCAAAGTTCGTTATATATCAAGCTTGAGATTTTAAGATCCAAATATATTTGGTCATCTAAAGTATATCTTCCCTTAGATCTTGAATTTTTAGATAAGGAATCCATCAAACTTGTTAATAGAAATAACTACTCTTAAACAAATAACTCATGAAAAACTGCAAAAATAATAAACGGTTTGCCCGCGAAAACTTGTAACAAAAGATCCAAACTGAATTTGCGCGCGAAATTAAGTTCGTTGCATAATAAATTGAGAATAGAGTTTGCCCGCGAAATCCGTTGAAAAACAGATTTTGTTTTAAAAACACATATGCTAGACTTTAAGATCATGATGCCTGTAAAATGGAATCTAACAAACATCTACGAACACAAATAGTTCTAAACACTTGTGATCTAAAGACAAGCTTTTATTTATTGATAACATTTCTTCTCCCCCAAGCATAGACTAGAGACCCAAAAAAATGTTCCCTAAAATCTGATATATATCCCAACGAAATCCAGACAAGAATCCCCCAAAATAATACAATAACACAGGTTTATTCTGTAACTATACCTCTGCGTTGAGGTGAGGAAGAACAGCTTCAAACTTGTAAGTGATTACCGTACAAAGAACAATTCTTATCTTCTTCTTCTTCTTTCACATGAAAGTAAACACTTCAAGAGATAAATTTATAGGATGATAAACATTACATTGCTTTCTATATTTACATTGCTTTCTTTGAATATAACTTTTTATGGTAAATATTACATTGCTTTCGATATTCACCAATTTTATTTTCTCTGTTATGTTTTTCCTTCAGTCAAAGCACTGGTGGTCTGATTTTAAATTATTTCCATATACAAAATCCTTTTTGACTGGCGTTTGTAGAATTGAATTCTTTTTGACTGGCGTTTTTATTTCTCCCTTTGTTTCAAGGAAAGACTTTAAAAGTTAACCAAAGTACATCTCTACTCTAAACGAACCCTAGTGGATATTGGGAACTTCATGCTCTTGAGAACCTTGGAATTATTTTTCTTCTTCATATTTTTTCTGCTGAAAACAAACAAAATCCTTTTTCGTTTTTTTGTAAAGCCTCATTTTCAGTTTGATACTTTAAAGTTTGTCAAAAAAAAAATTTATTATGCTGTAGTTTGTTTTTTTTTTTTTTTTTTCTCGGTTATTCTTAAATGTACATGATGTATAGTTTGATGCCAAGTACGAGAAATTGTTGCCTCTCTGTTGGACCATATTTGTAGCAGTCAATCACGATGTAACAATAACAAGGCATATAATGTTCAGTGACTGATTTCGTCGGACCTTAGTTCTTGGTGATATCTTCGAGCATTCAACAAAAATTAATAATGTTCAGTGATTCCCTTGAGCATTCAAAACATACATGCTTTCCTTACTCCTCGGTTTCAAATCGGTAACTACAGTTTTTAACGACTGGCGTTCAGTTTTATGTTACACTTGAATGAATTGTACTGTAATTAGGACATTACAGTTTTGTGTTAGGAATTCACTTGTAACCAGTAGTTTTGTGTTGGTAACATCCCTTAACTTACTTTTTTTACTTTTTCTTTAACTAATTTGGGTGATTCAAGTGTGGTTTGCTCGATAATGTTTAACTAATGTTCGGTAAACAATAAACTCAAAATTTTAAGATCCAAAGATATTGTTCTTCTAAAGAATATGTTTCTTAAGCTCTATTTCAACCTTAGATGTTCACAGCTAAAGAGAAATAACTAGCTACCTGAACAAATGTACTCATGCTAAATCTAAAAAACTTGTAATAACGAATTGACTGTTTGCCCGCGAAAGTTGTGGCAAATTCAAATCAGTATAGAGTTTTCGCTTTAAAGATCATAAAATCAATAGAATTGTTTGCTCGCCAAAATCCGTTGATAAGTAAGATGGAAAAACTTATGAAAACAGATTTGGGTTTCAAAAAGATCTTTGCCTAGATCCTAAGATCTCATCATGGCAGCTCTAAAATTTATTCTAACAGATATTGCAAACACTAAGGTGTCATAACATAGAAATGCCAAAAAATGGTTGAAAGTCCAAATCCGAAAACTTGTGAATGAGATCCAAATGCCAAATTCAGAAAACTGCAATAAATCATGATATAATTGACTAATGGCTTGCTCGGAAAAGTTCATTAAAAGCGCACCAAAATGTGTTAAAAGACTAAACTCAAATAGATCGTTTGCGCGCCAAATTCCGTTGGAAAACTAAGCTTACCAAAAGGAAAAAAAAAAGCTAGAAAACTTTTCAAACAGATTCAGGTTTTAAAATAAGGTTTTTTGCTAGATCTCTGGATATTGTTGCCTCTAGAATGTGATAGAAAAATAATTAGTCGAATAAACATCTTACCTTCAGCCGTTCACAGAATCACAGTACTCTTATCTCTTTTGAAGATTATTTGATTATTTTCTACTCTCACTCAAAGATAACGTTTCTATGGGTAAATTAAAGACTTTTAATTCGTAATCATGTGTTTTCGTATGCATAAATTAATCTGGAGCAAATATTCATAAACCATTAGATTCACTTGAAAGACAAAACATTGACAACAACAAAGTACATAACATTAGCAACAACAAAAACAACATTTAATAAAAACAAACATAACTCAGACTCTCACAACAGCGGTTACAAACCCTAAAACACAATCCAAATATTAATTTCCGCCGTCTCCTCCATTTTCCCCATCTGCATCCTCCTCCTCACCAGGCGCCGCAGTCCAAGCTGGGAGACCGCAACAAACCGGAGTTCCTATCACCATTCCCTGGGGCATTTCTCCATCGTCAAGACGTGGCACGGCCACGGGATCAGCAGCGGCAGGAACGGACTCTCCCTCTTCCTCATTGACAACATCAACCAAGAAATCAAAGATGAGGGTTCGATCCACTGCAGCAGCGACATCAGATCTCTGTATCGTGAGTCGTTTTCTCTCCTGAGCATGGAGCCACGAACGCATCGTGACATCCATGATAAACATCTCGCAGGCTTTGGAAAACAGGATTGGTGCCTCAGCAGCGATCATATTCACATCAGGATCAAACTTCATAATCCTCTTGATACGAGATAAGGGAAACTCGTGATTCTTAAAATCCAAGTCACCTTCCATCTCCTTTGACCAGAAACTCTTTAGCTGCTCGTTGTCTTGGGGTTGGGGTGGCTGCTGCTGGTTGTTGCTCTCCATTTTTGTTTTGTTTTGTTTGAAGTCTCTAGGGCTTTGGGTTCTGGGTGTGAGATTTTTTTATGTGGTGGTTCTCATATATAAAGGAAAATCTTAAGCATAGATAAGATATAGTGGGATAAGAAGCAGGTGATCTTTTCACAAATACTAATTAAGAGGAAATATTTTTTACCATTGAATATTCTTATAAAAAAGGGAACTAAAGGAAATACAAAAGGTATATTATTTTTCTCTATAAATTGAAAAGGTTTTTTTTTTTTTGACAAAAAAAAAATTTGCTCTAAAAATTATTTTCGAATATCTTTAGTTAAAAACTGTTGTTTTCTATTAATGATTTGAAAATGACACATTTTGTCAACTCTACTCTATGTGAGAAGCGTCCGCTCGTCTAGTAAAACCCTAAACCAATCCACTTCATTTGACCCAATTTTTCATTGTTTTTGCTATTAAGCCAAGAAATACGCAGTTCGAACGGTTCTTGAGAGACGACATTATATGTGGACTAGTGCATATACCGGGGCATTAGCAGCCCATATACACACAAAAAAACAGTGGTATCATCGAAATTTTACTATGGAAATGTGTTTGTCCAAACGGATCTTCGGTTCAATCCTTGGAAAAGCTGTAGAAATCCGCAGCATCTAAGACACTCATAACCACCACATTAGGTTCCTTCTTGGCGCAGCGTTAAACCCGTAATTCACCTCAATCTGTTTGTTTCAAGTGAAACAATAGGGACCAGCTTCTTGTTTGAGAGGAAAAACTCTCTTTTATTAAAATTCAATACATGATGACAAAACAACAAAGTGAATCCTTTAAGACTTTGGAATTCCACAAAATGCAAAACAAAATCCAATTTTAAAATAAAACAAAAAAATCAAAATTTTAAAATCAAACACCAAAAACTCCAAGTAGCCTTTGCTTTTGGCGCCTCTCTCTTCAAGATGTTGCTGCATCACTCCTCCATAACCACATTATCAATTTCCGCAGCAGCACCAACATTCTTGTGTGGAGAAGAGGAAAAAATCTCCAACTCTGTCTTCTATGAATGCACCAAACATATTGAATTGGATTGTCATCATATCCGTGAAAAAGTCGAGCTTGGGGTTATCATTCCTACTTACACAAGAAGTTCTAATCAGCTTGCGGACATCTTCACTAAAGTTGCAGATTGAAAGGTGTGCAGCTTCATTCATGGCAAGCTTGGCCTAGTTGATTTTCACCAACCGATAATATGATTGTTGCACTTTTTTTTCCTTTACCATGGTTTTTTCCATTAGATTATCTAGTAAAGTTTTTAACAAGACAACTCCATTTATGGCAAACTTGGCTTGATTAACATCTCTCAGCCAATCTTAAGGGAGAATGTTAAAATATATTAACTTACAATTAATCATTGTTGTGACTTCTCTCTCCTTCATGCATGATGGTATTTTCTCTTTCCTTCATGCAGTCTTTGTTTTAACAGCTAGTTTCTTCCTTTTTCTCATAAATATTTGTATGTCTTTGTACAGTGTAAAAACAGTGAAATATATTGATTGTTTTTGTTTACTATTTTCTTTATTCTCTGTTCTTTCTTCCGCTTATACTTTTTTACAATTAGTACACAAATATGACATTTCTGTTAAAAGTTATAATATTTTATAGGGAGAATTACAAAATGGCACACTTTTTCAAGTTTGATAACAAAAAGAGACACATTCTAAGATTTTCATCTTTTTTTTACTGATCTGCAACTTTTTGCCACAACAATGATTAATTGTAAGTTAATACCATCATGCATGATGGTATTTTCTCTTTCCTTGTTGTGACTTCTCTCTCCTTCATACTTAAAAGAAGTTCAATCAATATGATTATGCCCCTGCTTTACAATACCAAGCCATACAAACACTCTTCTTTGTTTTTTCCTCCTTCCTTCGTCACATCTCTTTCTCTACTCTCTCTCTTCTTTTTTTTTTTCATTCTTTTTTTTTATTATCACATTAATTACTTAATATCATATATATTATCTATTTTTTTAAACAACAAATTAAGATTTAATTTTTCCTACTTTTTAAGATCTATTTTGCTATATTTTAGATGAATAACTATATTACATATTATCCACTTGTGATTGAACATTTGTTCGTTATTAACTTTACATCCACAGATACTTGAACAAACATACTACAACAACATTTTTAACTACCAATCATCCAAGCATATCCGCTAAACCCAAACCGATATGTAAATTTGTTTAAATGAATAACACTAAATCATAGCCCCTACTTTATAAACCCAAACCAATATATAACTTCGTTTAAATGTATAACTCTAAACCCTAACTACCTTATAAATCCAAACCGATATGTAACTTCGTTTAAATGTATAACAATAAACTTTAATCCCTATCTTATAAACCCAAACCGATATGTTAGTTCGTTTAAAAATATATAAGTATATCTTAACATATATCCTAAACCTTAACACTAAAAGGACATGTTTTAGGATGTCAATGTGTAGCTTATCTGGTCAGATGTACCCATGTGGACGTGACCATTGGCAGTTATGGTAACTTCTATTATGAGACTTTTGTAACTTCTTTAATTGTATAACTCTAAATCCTAACCCCTAAACCTGTAACACTTAACGGTATACCGTAATCCATAAACCTTTAATCCATGAACCTTAAACACTAAACACTTTTAACGATTTAAATAATCTATCCATGTGGAATTGACCATGAGAGCAGGAAAATACTCAGTCAAACACTAAAATGGGACATAAAAAATTGGCACATGTATAGTCCACCGAAAAACCTTATCCTTATTAATCCATGTGGTCAGAGTTTAGCGGATATGCTTTGATGATCGATAGTTAGAAATATTTGTGTAATAGGTTTGATGTGAGAAATAAAACGATTGTTTTTTGTTCAAGTATTTGTGAACATGATCTGGTGGATAGAATTGATCTGGATATAAATGTTTGGGATATGTTAAATATAATTATTCATCTAAAATATAGTAAAATAGATTTTAAAATATAATAAAAATGAAATCAGAATTTATTATATAAAGAAAAATATATAATATATGTGATATGAAATAATTTAAGTGATTGAAAAGAGATAATGAGAAACAAAAAAAAAGAGAATGGGAGAAGAAAAGAAAGAGGGAGAGACGGAGTAGTGATGAGGAAAGAAGAAAAAAAAGAAGAATAAATATAACTAACATAAGAGTTGGTTTTGTTGAAGGGTATATTAGTCATAACACACGAAAGAAACTTGAACAAAGTAGAATGTGTGCCAACGTGATAGACAAAGTCGGAAAAGTGTGTTTAAGCGTAAATATCTCTATTTTATATTTGCCAGTTATGTTTTCCCTTCTATCCAACCACTCCGTGCCCAATTTCAAATTACGTCCATATACAAAATCTCAGTTTGTAGAAACGAATCATTTTTACTTGGGGTTTCTATATCTCTCTTTTTCTGTTCATGTAAACGTTTAGATACTTTGAACAAATACTCTCTTTTATTTTCTTTTTTTTTAAATCTTGTTTTTATTAAATCAAAAGCTGCTGAATAATAAAAGAGACAAAATCTATAAATAAGGTTCTACGGTTTCAACAGACCTAAAAGGAAGAAAATCCTTTATAAAAAACTTATAAGGAAACAAAAACCTACAAATAGATCCAGCGACAGAAAAAAGCAGCAACGTGTAAAGGCATACACTGTGTCAGCCAAAAATAACAGCCGCTCATCATCTTTACTAGTGACGTTGCGAGTTTCCATATTCAGCGACTGGTTTTGTATCTCCGTAATATTTTTTGTCTTCGCCGTAGTCGATGTCGCAGCGATTAACAGACAAACAGGCCCTTCGGAACAAGTTAATGTCACTAATAAGGGCTTGGTTTTGTGAATTCTGCTTGGTTTGTTATCTTAATTTGAAAACCTATTTCTTGGTGAGCAAGAAACTGTCGATTCTTCTAAGTAGTCATGTTTAAATATTGCTGTAGAGGAGATAGAAATGAAACGTAACCGTTTTAAATTGGAGTTAGAACATGATTTCCCTCTACTTAATAATTCTTTACATCTCTCAAAAAAAATTAGAAGAATTATTTTTTTACTGGATACAATGGTGATTAAGTATTGGTAAAAACATGACTGGCAATACAAAGCCATGGTAAAATTTACCGTAAAAAGTCAACGTGCGCCACATGTTTATCATTCAATGGTTAAGGTTTATAAATTTTATCACTTGAAGAGTTTTTTTAATTTTTAAAGAGCCAAGAAAAGAAGAATTGTTAATTCTTCGTTTAGAGATTTGACAAAGAAGAAGAGTTAGAAACAAAATCACACAAGTCCGAAGCTGTTCTTCCTCATTCCCAACAACATAGGTATAGTTATCTTCATAACTGTTTATTTAATATTGCTGTTTTTTTTAAGATTTGGCAAGAACATCTAAGGTTCAAACAGATCTAAAGTGAAATATATTTTCTCCATTGAGATTGTGACTTGGAGAATCTTTTGATGATAAACCTTGTTCTGGGGGCAAAACCTTTCCCACTTTATATTTGAGCATTGTTCAAGAGCTTAAGATCCTATGTGGTTCAAACTCACCCACGACATCACTCAACAGAGACATGGAGCACAGTTTCAGGACGTTCCATCCTTGATTAGTTGATTTCCAGTACAAATTTCAGTAGAACTCATCAGTTTATCCTTAGGTACGTGTTTCAAGCCACCATCTATTCGACATGGAGATAAAGGAACCGTCAACAACACGGCGAACAGCCCATGTCTGCAGCAAACATAAATAAACAAGTTGATTGCACAATCCGGAATCGTATGTCCACTGACTCGAAATAGAGCAATGGCAAAATGCAGGAAGCTTTGAGCGAGTGGTTTGCAAAGAGAAGAATCTATTTGAACTTGTTTTTGATGAAGTGGTTGTGACCACTTTTATGGTGAAGACATTCATCAGAATGAATGACTGGTTTTTGGGCACGATGGAATGGTTGTTGCGAGCAATACGTGATGGTGTATTGGAAAGTTTAAAAACGGAGTTTATTTG